ATTTGATAAATGCACCGAAAATTTTATGAACCCTGTCAGTTTTGAAATCATCTCTATACTTGTCTTCTCCAAACTCAACTTTGCTGTCCATTTTGAGCGACCCGGATGGCGCCTACAGGACTTGATTTTGCAACCTGTAAAATTTTATTCCGGGACGCATCTGGTATCATAAATGAGTGTAAACCTGAATTTTGCAGTGTCAGAATATTGTGCATCTTTCTATCCTAATATGAAATCCTGAGAGTTAAGTATGCGGCTTGCGGCTTTCTTCTACTGGATAGTGACCAGTGAAGTAGCATTCACTATTTGCCAAAGCCTATCTGGCTAGTAATATTTGAACAGAAGGGTGTCATCTTTTCTCCATTTCATATTTTGCCAACGCTTATTTCAAACCGTATGTAATTGCTAGTCGTCGAATTTGGAAAAACTGCGAAGCCTCTGTTTTGGAGCACTTGTACAAACTTGCAAAGCGAGGTTTCAAGCGAGTAAATAAATGCACGATGAACAAAACTGACTTCGTGCGACGCGTTACGTGCGTATTGTTAATATGCGTTTTTCATGTCATATGTACTTCCTTGTCTTTCAGATCTTTACTGTCACCTGTGTGTGTAAGTTGTTTAACCTCATACAATGGACGTCGAGCCAGAAGCAAGCCAGGTAAATCCCCGAGTCTTCACTGATAAGATCCTGTTTAAACGTGCGGGACTACAAAAAATTAATGCGTTTTCTCACTGTATCAGTGGCACCTTCGGACCACACATAGACAGGAGACACCCTTCCGAAATTTCAGCTTCTAGTTTTTATGCGTTATTGCTATGCATCACTATAGCGCTGTTAGATTAAGCAAAAACGTATATTGGCAAGAGGTTGTGTGTGTTTACGCTATAATTTTTTCAATTTGCAGAAATTACTTTAATCATTTTTTATCGCTGAACAACGATTTTCTCTTTTTAAAGTTTTTTCCAAGGCATTAGTCTGTGCAGAGATTTTGATTTATAATTTTTGTTGTGG